TCATTCTTTAATACTAACGATGCTCCATCATCTTCAACTAACATCCAATGAATTATTACAAGGGATTGGCTTTATTCTAATGCCGACTCGTAATATATTATAAGACGCCGCGTGCACGCGGCGTGTAGTAGATATGCATTTGTCCATACATCAATGGGGAAAAGTTAGACTTGATTTAAAACAAAATCACACTGTTTTCAAATTTCTGATGTACAACATGTCACCGAGCTGTAAGAGATTAGAAAAAAAAACGTTTAACTGAAGTTATAGTGCGGTGTTGAATATTATATTCTTTTTATTATTATCTAATTTTATCTACATAATAAATAACGTGCCAATGAGCCAGTCTATAGTCGCCTATTTTTCCTGTTTTGAAATAAATTGCAGATGAGGTGTTTAACACCCCCTGCTGATGGAATCGCGAGAAGGATATTGTTTTGACGTTGTCCAAGCTTCCGTTCGTACGTCCTAATTTCGTTTCCGCGCTTCTTCTCTGCAACTACTGGCCGGAATTCAATTGAACTTTATAGGAACATCAATAACTAGAAGAGATGCGCACATCGCCGCATTAGTGATGTCCTTTGATTAGTTATGCAGTATGCATATTAAGAAATTATTGTTCCGTGCAATTTCTCAGCAGCAACAGGCAGGAATTTAACTAAACTTTACTGAAACCTTTATTACCAAGTGAGGATACGCATATCATCGGCTTGCTCCAGTCAGTAAGGCCCCCACGATTACACGTTTAAACGGATTCGTTTCGATTTTCATTCATAAACGTTTACGATATTGTTTACCGTTTAATCGAAATGACCATATTGTCTTACAAAATTTCTTAATCATTGCCTGTAATCATGGATTTTATCAATTCTAGTTGTTTATTCCAAAGTAAACAAACGGAAAATATGTGTTTACAACCCTCCACACAGCATTACGGTGCAAAATTGCTCGTGACATAATCGCTCATTCTCAATAAGACACAGCATTTGATGTTCCACTGGGTAGCTCTTATACGAAGGTTTTTCTTGAGGTCAAAATGTCGTTAGAAAGGTGGCTGCCACTTTGTCTAATAGGGACACTCTCAGTTTTACATTTCTATCTGTTATTTTTCTTTTACAAGTACCATTAATGCCCTAAAATGTAACATACGTTACTGTCGCCACCTAGAATTTTCAACTTTGAAATTGTGTCTCAGAAAAATAAGTTCCAGAATAAACGAAACATGTGCAATTAGTCATTGCTGTGTGTATATGAACTATGATTATTGGTAAAAATTACATTTGACTGTTAAAATCTCATTGATATAATGGATGATCAAATGTCGCCAAATGCATATAAATAAATAGTGACAAACCTAAAACAATAATAAGTGGAACCGAAATTACATAATTGAATCGATGCATGCTTAATAATACAGCATATATATAATTATAAGTAAAAATAAGCTTGCAGCCTCTCAAAAATCATTATATTTTCGGAAATTTTCATTTTTTATTCAAATCTTTTCAACAGCATTTTAAAAAGAAACATACGTTACCATTATTTAAGAGCCAATCCATTCAAAGAAGAATCCAAACAAGAAAGAAAATTAACATGTGTGTAACTCTGATATATTAACCACAAATTATGGCGGGTTAAACAGTCTTGCGTCATTTTTTAACCCACTTTCAATGTAAAAATGAAACATACGTTACAGAAACATACGTTATCAACTTTTTAAAGTAAGTTTATCAAAAGGGAAATTGAAGTCAGAAAGCACGTATAACAACATCATTAACTTCTATTTGACATTAGTAAGTAAATGTTGATAACTTTGGTCGAGTTTTAACTTGTTTAAGTAACCACAGTGAAACAAACGTTACTTTTATCAAACAGACTTTATATTGTTTACACATGCATATATAAAAACATAAAATCGCATTTTTATGACAATAGAATGATGAACATTTGATTCCTAAATAAAAAAGTCGATTTTACATGTAAGTTTCAATTCCGTGATTAAGTTCATAAATAAGCGAGTGTGAAACATACGTTACTCCAACTTACAATTCAAAAATTTTTGAAAATTAAAGATAAAGTTGGGATTATCATGCCTGTTAGTAACGGTTACCTTATATTAGATGTCAGAAGATACAAAATTATTTTTACAAAGGAAAGATATGTTAATAATATGTTGATGTACCAGCAGAAATGTTAAAAATATTTTACAAGATATTGATGTTCTCAGCAACAACTAATTCGTTTCTGCAAAGAGCTTACTGACCGTATTTCATTCTATATATAATAATGTTAAAATAATATCCATAAATATACATTATTTTACAAAATATTAAATTGTTTTCTCAACCTTTACTTGCATTTGAATAAAATGAAACATACGTGACATCCTATATGGGAATAAATATAGAACTGCTTAGCAATAAATTTTCCAAATATTAAGAAAGTGAAAAGTTGAATGTTTTGAAACAAAATTGCTAATACAACATTTGTGTATGCATTCGACCTCTCATATATTATATATGATATATATCCTTTGAATGAAGACATAAAATAATCATTTCCAAAATTGACTATTTTTGCTTTCTACGAATATTTAACTTTGAAGAAATTAACTGAAAATTAGCAAGGTACCCAACTTCCTTGAATTTTCCTGGGTTAGAAAGTCCCTCTAGATAGAGAATTTACAGATTTTGATATATTTTATTTTAAAGACATTTGTTGTTAATATGCAGCCAATATGTTACATTATTAGATCTGAAATCTACGTTACCGAAGAAATACAGTGTCATTACCAAAATAAATGCCATCCTGTTATATCATAGTTTCTTGTTCAAAATATTTCTGGCAAACTTGCAAAATACCCTAAACCTTTACTTCAGCGATAAAAATTGACACAATGACAACATCAAATTTTTAATATTTTTCAACCTCAAATGCTTTATTTTATTGAGAATGGGCGAATACATTTTTGGTAAAAAATGGGGTTAGGTTACAATGCAGAAAGTGTGTGCTGACTCAATCGTGATTAGCCCTGAACATTCTTTATTTGTACATGTGTAAAAAATAGAAAGAAAGACATCATTTGGCTACTCAAATACATGGTGTGCATAGTACATAGAGGTACCACCGTTTAAACGGTATCGTTTCAGTTATTAGCAATCGTGTAAACGTTTACAAAAAATTGTAAACGTGGGAGCCTTACCAGTCAGACCCTTAATACAGAGTTATGGCCCTTTGCAGTATGCATATAAATAATAATCGTTTCTGCGCTATTTCACTACAACTTTTGGCTGGAATTCAACGGAACTTTATTGGAACCATCAATTCTAAGAGAAGATGCACTTACCCTTCTGTTGTTTAGGTCAGACCCTTCAACACAGAGTGGCCTGTATGCATATAGCGCAATAATCGTTTCTGCGCTAATTATCTGCAACTACTGGCTGAAATTCAATTAAACTGGCTAGAATTCAATTGAACTTTATGGGAACAATTTATACCTAGAGGAGATGCACTTATCCTTGCCCTATATAGGTCGACCCTTCAACACAAAGTCATGGCCCTTGATTAGTTATGTAGTATGCATATGCAGCAGTATTGCTATTTATTTGCAACTGCTGGATTGATTTTGACAATACTTTTTCATCAATACAAGTGGCTTCCGTGGCCGAGTGGTTAAGGTCGTTGACTTCAAACCACTTGCCCCTCACCTCTGTGAGTTCGAATCCCGACAGGGACTTTGAATTCTTTCATGTGAGGAAGCTATCCAGCTAGCTTACGGAACATCGTGGTTCTACTCAGGTACCCGTTTGTGCCTGAAATAATACACAGAAGGGCATCTTAGGTCTTCCTCCACCAGTAAAGCTGGAACGTCGCGATCTGACCTATAATGTGTCGATGTGACGTAAAACCCAAAACACACACACACACACACACTCATCAATACAAAAGGACTTTCATATACAATCATAATATTAGTGTTTTTAAAAGTACAATATTTGGTCTTGGTCAACTTGTGAAACAGTGAGCAAATAAAGGAAACCATAATGACTTAATAACAACACATTTTGATCGTATAGTTAATTTTCTATCTTTTTTGCAGTGTCTTAAAATATTCTTTTTCACTTTTTTATTCTTTTTTTTTAAATCAACATCAAATATTTTAATAATTTGGAATGTGCTACGCCCAATTTTACTTTTCGTCTTGTCTAAATTGCGATAGTACAATATTTAAGACAGACTGTCCATAGAACCTAGGTTTTGTCAAAATGTACCTTTAAATCGGTGATATCTATAAGCTTAAATACTTTTTATGTAGCATTTGTATTTTTTTCTGTACCAGCTTACATAATTGATGTAGCATATTCAAATTTGGTAAATTCATATTAGAATATTAAATATCAATTACCTTAAAATGGCTTGTCACCTTTAATCTATATGAGCCAGAGTATCACTTATCATCTCAAGAAAACGAAACAGTTATCACCAACCAGGCACATTAAATGCTTAAACAAAATATACCAGAAGTATATGACCATTTTAGACACCTAGGTTTATTCTAATCTAACCTTTGCCAATGGCATTGAGCAACCAATTGGGTTTCATGGTTTCATTGGGGAATTATGATTTTACTATAATTGCATTATTGTCTTCAACTGCAGAAAGTATTTCCAAGAAAACCTAAAATATATGTTTAAACCACAATTTATTTCTGGGTCATCCAAATGACACCTTATTCTCTTTCAAATTTTAATAATAAAAGTTAAAACTTGATAAAATTTGACTTTTAAGGTTGAAAACATATATTTTCAAATTCAAGTCATTGTAACATTTGTTGTGCGTTTCCAATGAACCAACAGAAAATGATACAAACTCACCATAGTTGTGGTTCCTAATGTAACGATGTATTCATTAATTTAAAGATTCAAATGATCTTTTGGTATTTCATTTCTTCTTTAACGTTTCTTTCTTAAATGTTTTGAAAATAAAAAGATAACAAGATCAGAACTTATTTGATTTATATTTGATTTTATATAATTTCTAGCTAAATATTAATGTATATTTACATGATATTTAAAGAGCACTTTTGTAACAGTTTGTCAGTTCTCCAAATATAATGTGCAGCTATCAATTTTTATGTTTAAATTAGTAAAATAGAGACATCACATATTTACTTATGGAATTTGATAAAATTTTATGAATCTTGCAAGATTTTCAATTGGCAATTTTTCGCCAGATGTAGTTGCCAGATTATTCCTCAGAAAGTTTAAGTCATTTAATTCCTTGAAAAAACCTTTTTTAGCTGCTGCGGTCCCTTTTAAATCAGGTTTAACATAAAAATCTTTAAATCCAACATGGCATTTTCCTATCCTTTTTAAAACTATCACATAATCATAACATTTTTCCGCCAACATTGCAAAACATGACTTGGCGTTGCCGATATTTTTGTACGTATTCTCCATGCATGGACTATTTTTTGTCCACAAATACAAGTCCCCACACTCTCTTGCCTTTTTACAGTCCTTCTTTAATACCTTATCTATATCGTCAATCAATGATTGCTCCGTGTGACTCTGATATTTTTGACCGTCTTTTACCAATTCGATTGTAATTCTTATCAATAGGAAGCTCATCTACTTCCTTTCAAACTTCTTGAATGTACCGTATCTTTATCCATTTTATATATATTTTCCTTTTTAGATTTTTTTTGTTATTCCAAAATGTGCATTTTGTAATCCATTAGTGTCATATTCTTTTCTGACATCCCGTAACATTTTCTCAAAATTACCCTTAACTATATGATCTGGTTGTTCGACGAATGCAGAAGGTTTTGGTGTGGGAATATCCTTTTTTGGTATGTTACATTTTTTTCCAGGTGACCTCCTGCATCTGATTCGACTTTTTGGTTTGTTTTCCGCTAGATCATCTAGTTTGTTAATCCTTTTATTGGCTCGGTCAGCTAAACTATTACCGATACTCTTCAGTTTTGTCTTCAACTTTTTAGGTAAAGAACGGAGGCCTGTTTTTGACAGATGATTTCACAGATTCAAAAGACGAAGACCGTGCATTATGAAAGACTTTTGACGTAAACGATTTAATCTTTCTACCAGCTTTTACTGTTAATGTTTTGACTTTTGTCGGTAATTTTTTTACGGTTGATAGTGATGACTTTAGAATATTCTTAAAATTAAACATTTTTTTTCTTCGCGAAATTGATAAAGGTTTTTTTTCAGTCCTTGTTTAAGCATTGTTTTTCCTGCGTGAATTCCTTGTTTGACTGCCAGTTTTATCGATGATGTGATAGCTCTGACACCCGCTTTTATCCCAGCTTTTATACCCGCTTTTGCGGCAGTTTTTATTCCTAATGCAAACGCGGATCCCGTTCCTAAAGTTGCAACAGTAACTACAGCGACGACAGCATCCAAAATCAAATCAATGCCTAAATCTAAAAGCGCCGATAGTGCAACGTCATCACACCCCTTAGCGGCGTATATTGGAGCTCTAAATAGATTGTATAAAAAACCAAAGATTGGAATATAAGACATTACTTCACTTGCTTTTTCCTCTGCTTTATTGTAACATTTTTTTGCACCTAAGGAGTTTGACATCCTTTTCTACATCTTGATACCTAATAAGTGTCCACTTCTGTCCATCTGTTCCGTCATATGAATACACAATTACATCATTGTATGTGTCTAAAAGTTTTGTGTGTCCATTTACAGTGGAACGAATTGCACTACCAGAAATATCCCAGTGCTGGAAGTGCTCGTGTTCAAATTTACTCTGCATTTCAACCCTCTTGCCATTAACAGCAAGGGCTTTTCCAGATTCGGGACTTAAAAGGTGTTTTCTATGCCTTGCCCAGAGTTGATTGTAATAGTCATCACTCGCTTTTGCCATAGTTACATCTCCATATCGCGTTTCAGTTAAAACGGGACATTTTCCATTATTTTCCTCTTCGCTCTTTAAAAAATATATATTTATGTTTCTTAATTCATTTTCACACGTTAACAGTTTACTATTACGTGTACCCTCTTCAGCGTCAATAAATCTCCAATGTTGGTCCTTGCTCTGCCAATAGTTTTGTTGACTAACCATTTGAATGTCATCACCATACAGACCTACAACTCGGTTGAACTGGTAGTGTCTCATTTTTAAATGTTTACCTTCAAGTGTCCATTGTTGACTAGATGATCCATGACTCTTTTGCCTTAGCATTATATTATAATATGAACCTTCAAGTGCCAAACCAGTGTCGGCATTTATAATATTATCACCATTCCAATACCAAAGTTGTCGATTAAAAAAAGAGTCTGATGGAGGTCGTAGTCTTACTGTATGTCCAGGCCCCAAGTCTGTTAATAATTCACAAGGAGTAAGCTCATGGCGGATAAAAAACAAACACGTCAATGTATTGACATAATTACCCGAATCATCAAATATTATAGTGTCCCAGCGTTGGTTGTTTTGCCTATGTATTTTACACCATATTATTACTTTAGACGTCAAGGTATTTACGTCTAATACACAATTCGTGTTATGGTGAAATATGAAATTACCTTCCGTCTTGAATGCCTGTGAAGACGCATATTTATTGTAATTACCCATGATCACTTCATTACCAACAACTTGAAGCACACGATTAGTCTTTAGATTAATAAAGTGATTATGTTTTTTATACCAAAGTTGGCTTTCAATATCATCCTGATTTAAATGTTCAAATGTCGGACGTTGACCATATTGTGCTCCCGTTAATACTTTACATTTGTTCCAATGTGATCGAATGAAGAACAGTTGTGTTCCACTTGTAGGACTAATAGAACAAGATTCAAAATTTTCTGATAGTAATTTTTCATAGTAAACAAATGAGAGATCCATTGTTTTATTCCTTTCATATGTCAAGTAGATTATCCCGTCATTATGAAGGTTAGCTGAAAAAAATTTGCCCCCATGACAGTTCTTGCACTTTAAACCTTTATTAGCATAATCCCATTGTTTTTGTTCTTTTGAATTAGACAAAACAACAGATTTGGCATGTGTTTCTTGAATAGATTGTCCAGTGTGTGCTAATATAATTGAGTGGTCGCTCCAATACCAAATCTGATTTTCGAGTAATTCTTGAGAAACGGGTCTAAGATACAATGTCCCTTTACTTAAATCAGCAGTGACGAATTCGCAGGGTTCATGGATACTACGCAAAAGATAAAAGCACAATAAATCTAAGCTTTTTTCTTCATCGACTTCATAACTTGATATTTCAGTAAAAGTCCACGTATTTGGGGTTTTTGCTTTCCGGGTTATAAAATTATAACTTATCTCACGATCGACTCCATATGGCCATTTTTCAATGTCCATGTAATATCCATTGTTGGAATCTGAATATATAGTCCCTTGTTCAAAATTAATGGTCCACATTTGAGACTGTTTATACGAGTAAAGTGTATCAAGATGTAAGAAGGAATCATCCTCTGTTTGGTTGAAACTGTCACCATATGGTGCAATAGTAAACCCAGTGCCTAGATTTATAATGTGTTCTCGATGAAGAATCCATGTCTGGTAGTCTAATAGGTTTTCATCATAGGGACGCATGTCTAACACAAAGTTTCTGTCATTACTTTCTACAGCAGTTAATATTAAACACCCTGGTATTTCATTATTTCGAATGACGTAACGATTCATTTTCCGCATTTTATCATCAGAACAATCTAGCATTGAGTCATCACGAATCGCATCTTCTATTTGAGTAAACTTCCACTTCTGAATAGCTGATTGCCGGTAACTATCAATTTTAATTCGACCACTATTTCTGACATCTATCGTTAAAACATCACCAAGGTAGATCTTTGAGAATATTATATTGTTTTGAATTACCCATGCACTTTCATCGCTAAAACTGTCATTTTTACTTGGAACAACAAGCATGTTTCCAGTCCCGACATTTACAAGTTTTTCATTTGATTTGTACCATAGGTGCAAGAAAATATTTTCTCCTATTGGTGACAAAAGATGTGACTGTGTAGCCAAATGTTCAGACAGATATTCACATGGCCAATCTTCAGATTGTATAAAGTACATACAAACAACGTCCTGAAAATTATCAAAGTCTGGCTGGTCAAACGAAACTAAAGTCCAAATGGGTTTGACAGATACCGTGTCTGATGCCATGTTACAAGTTGTATGAAGTGTCTCTAATATATTACAATGGGGATTACTGAATGATTTGAGGGTTCCATTATCAAATGTCCAGAGGCGAGTAAATCCACCATAATCATTGTAAGATTGCAAAGCTTCGCTTGTTGCTAAGTTAATGATTTGATTTTCATTCCAGTACCACAAGTAATGTTCTATATGTTCTTCTGAAAACTCCCCAAAATAAATTTTATGATTTATGTTCTTATAATCCATCCCAAGTATTTTACATGGGTGTAACGAATTTTTGATGAAAAAATATTCCGTTTGTGTCGATGCATGTGTCTCCGAAGGTATGTGGTCGGCTTCACTAGATAAACCAAAAAGGTTACGAACCATTCCACCCAAGATGTACATAAACAGTATAAGCCTATTGCCTAGAAGTTGTACAAGAGGACCGTTCAAGAAAGGCGTGTCGTTTTCCTGTGTAAGTTTTTCTGGCTCTGTTGTAGAGGAAAATCTATTAAACGCTAACTTAGTTTCATAAGAATTCATGTCGCAACTCAAATGAACATCCAAATTATCAGTATCTAAAAAGCAATTGCCATTCTTTATACGATCAAAAGTCATTTCCCATATGTCTGTGCCTTTGCTTTCTATAGGGCCTAATAGACATGTTTTATTTACTGTAGTCTGGCATGATACAGATAAATGTGAGCCTACGTTGATTAGCATTCCTTTGTCAATTATCCAGAGCTGTTCTTCTAAGTTTGTAATATTAAATAACTCTAAAGACAGTTGTTCATTCAAAGATGAAGTCAATATTTTACCTGTTTTCCTTTCAAATATAACAAGAAGTTTTGCACTCTTACTAACATCAATTTTCATGTCTATCTTACGCAAATGACGCCTTGTCGAATTTGCGTTCAACATGCTTAATAATTTATGTGACTGGTTTTTGAAAGACAAGGAACCATTTGATATTTCGCTTATCGGTCTTATCCATTTGAAATCTGGATTATCAGTAATTTCTTCCAAATTGAAAACATCAATATTTGAAAGTAATTCATTAACCTCAGATACATTTTCAAATTTTCCACCACCACTCAATTGATCAAACAAGTTCATCATTTCATTGGTGTTCATAATATTTTCCGCCAGCATGTTTGCTAGAAATGAAGATTCCTTCTGTTCCACTTCAATGTCGTTGTCGAACGTTTCTTCCTCGCTTGCTACAATATCAAAATAAGTTAAAGATAAAACAAGCAATTAACATAGTATTGTAAGTAATATGATATTCCCCTGCTGATGAGAACCTCAGCAGCATTCTGAAGGGTCATTCGTCTTTCATTCATGTTATTAAATGTATGAATGAATGAATGAATGAATGAATGAATGAATGAATGAATGAATGAATGAATGAATGAATGAAACGAATGAGACGAATGAACTTTTATAATTCGATTCTCGTTTGTCTGCCTAGTAAGGAAACTATATCGTCGCTTGAAAAACGTTTTGTTCTAAGTGACAATTTGTTGTTTTTGAGAAAAAAGCATGTAAAGATTTAGAATTGCATAACTTTTTTATTTATTGTCGGATTTTGAAAATTTAAAAACTACTAAACTTGGTGTCAGAAGAACAACCCAGTATCGTTAAAGATATGTGGATTTTAATATTTCCTTGCTTAAAAACCTAAAATAGAACAGTCCTTGTAACTTTTTTCAAAAATTGTTAAAATCAAAGTGTTCAATGTGACTTAGAACATTATGTCTTTTAAATTGAATTGATTTATATCATATAAAACAGTATGTTTTACCTTTAAAAGGTTGCCAAAAAGCCCTCGGCTAATTATCCCTTGATTAGTTGACTTTGACACTACACTATTTCTTAGACCATATGTATCGAACTACATGAACTATGACATTCGAAATCTTATTAAAATCCTTAAATCCATTACATTATTAAATGACATTTAAACAAATAATTTAAATAGTTAAAGATAGACATTTTTCTATTTTTATAACTTTGGCCACATTCATGAAGTGATTCAATGTCTGGAAAAAGAAAGTTACAGCTGCAAGTGGGGGGGGGAACATTCAAATTTTCTAGAATGCTGGGAAAATCTTTCAAGATTTTTTTAATGAAAATTCCAAAGATGGTCAAATTCAAGTTCTTCCAAAAGTATGAAACAGTAGTAATTATTTTGTTATGCGCTTTACACGTTCTGTGTGTTGGTAAGAAGTTCTTACAATTGAAAGTATGTAAAAATGTTTCTATAACTTAAATAGGCAATGAAAACATATATAGATCTGGTAGAAAAGACCTTAAAGGTGGAGCAGGCATGACTTATACTTGGAAAATGTCATATCTAAAGATTGTTCGTGTACAAAAACATTACACACATTATGCTATATAAATATTCATTTAGAAATTCAAAGTCAAATTAAGAGACAAACAAAATATACGTATAAGAATATTTTTTCCTTCTGTCTTTGGTGTAAAATGTGTTGTCTTTAAAGAAATCTATTAGTTATATAACATTAACGCATTCGAAAACATATATTATATGCAAACGTATATTATCTATAAATTTTCTTAAAGGCCTTTTTTCCCCAGAAATGTTTTTATCTTGATCTCTCAAAAGCCTGGTATTTGGAGTTCTGTTATAGTTTCCAAAATATTCCACATTAGTCAGTAACCTAAACCATCTTATGCTTTTGTTTCATATTGGCAATGAGTACAATCAATTTTTAAAACTCATATATGTCTGTTATAAAGATAAATAATTGATTTCTGAGACAGAATGTACCCTACGTTAAAGAAACTTTAGAACATATAACAATTTTATTTTTTACGAACTTGTTTGATGAAATTGTATGGTCACAGTTGTTTCTATCCGAACATACACATCCGAAATTACTTTCATATCATGATCAGTATTGCTTGTTGTTTAATCACAAGCAGTAAATTTACAGTACTTGATACTAAAATGTCAATTATTGGAGGGAATAAATGAATACATAATATCATTCAATACTTACATTTAGTATTAATATATCAAATAAACAACAAACCATCTAACTCAAAATGTTTCGTACAACATGGCTGGTGTCCTGCTATCACGTGATTTGATGCTATATTTTGGATTTAGAACAGTATGTTGCATATATCCCACAGGTCACGTAACATTTATCGATGATATGATTAGTCCAGTAAGTTAGAACAGTCTATTTATCAAGACATAGTAAATTTGTGGAGATAGAACAGGATGGTTTCGTTGTTATTTATTTATGAAACTCTGAAGCACTAATATAACATGCAAAGGAGATAGAACAGTCCATTGCAGACCAAATTGTGTATTTAACTTGTTTTTGGAAAATTTGGAGAAAGAACATTACTGTTTTCAAACGACGATATTTATACAAAAGTAAATCAAGAGATCTAATTTTCACAGGAATATGTATACAATTAATGTTTCAAATTTTCTCTGTTTTAAGTAAAATTATTCAAAAGTTCCAAGTTCTTTAAAAGTGATTTCGGGAAAGAGTTTTCAGGCACGAACAGACAGACAAACAGACGGACTGACAGACTCTTAGAAGGTGAATTTTTAAACACCCCTTGTTTTATCAGATAATCACATTTTTAAAGCAAACTTTCCCGGAAGAGAAAATCATTCTTAACTTATGAATATTGTCCTACATGATGTGAGTATAGCAAAGAACAAAATCTTATGTTAAAAAAGATAACATTTGTAAACAAAAAAAAGAAAAATGAAAAAGAAAAAACAAAAAAAAACAGTTTTCAAATATACAATAAAAAAGTATCACAGCAGAAAAAAATCCAGTTTAAAATGAAAATAATCATGGAAGCCTAGGCACTAGACTTATATCTCTAATCATATATCATATAGTATAAAGGTGTTGATAACGAATTTTTTAGCTTTAAAGTAAATCAATGAAGAAAAGAAGACAGAATAACTTAAATCATATATGATAAAGGTGTTGATAAAGAATATTTTAGATTTGAATAAAAGAAGACAGAATGAATTAGACAAATTTAAAGTTTAAGGAAGACATGAATTTTGGAATATGAACGCTAGATTTATAAACCTATAAGAATTGAAAACGTTTGAGTAAAAATAAAAATTTGAAGAAAAAAAAATCACTAGACATTGTCACAAGTGAACAAAATGTAATAGCTCCAACATTTTGGATGAAAGGGTTATGGTTCTTATTCACTGCACCTTTACTCAGTGATATCTTTTAAGTTGATACCAAAACAAAGTTCAAAGTGTAAATCTTAACAAAGGGACAATAATTCCAAAAAAAGGCAATGCAGAGAAATGGTTCTTTTGCAATGCACCTCTGCTCAATAAGATCTATCTACCTGCAACAATTCTTGTTAATACCCCCTCGTGATTTCAGAGTCCAGGAATATGTTCAAAGTGTAAAAATAAACAATGGGCAATCATGCCAAAAATTAAGCAACGCAGAGTTACGGTTCTATTGTACTGTGCTTAAACATAATTTTATCCATCTACCTACAAAGTTTTTAGTTAATAGCCTTTGCTGCTTTAAATTCATGTCCAAATGTGTAAAAATAAACAAGGGCAATATCTCTAAAATAAGGGAAGGCAGACTTATGGTTCTCTTGCGCTGTACTTTTACTCAATGAGATCTATCTACCTACAAACTTTTCTGTTAATATACCTTGATGTTTAAAAGGTATGTCCCGGACAAAATCACAAGTGTAGAAACAAAGGGCAATAACACGGCAGCGTAACGGTTCTTTGTACTGCACTTATACTCAAAGCGTTCTATCTACCTACAAAGTTTTTGTTAATACATTTCCCGAACTTTTAGAGTTATGTCCCAAACAATGTTCAAAGTGTAAAATAAACAAAGGGCAATGTCTCTAAAACAAGTGAAAGCAGAGTTACGATTCTTTGGCAATGCACTTGTACGCAATGAGATATATCTACCTACAAAGTTTCTAGTTAATAACCCTTGTCGTTTTAGAGTGATGTACCGGGTAATAATAAACAAAGGACTATTACCCCACAATTTGACAGAACAGAGTAACAATTTTTTTGCATTGTACTTCTACTCAATGAGATATATCTACCAGCAAAGTTTCCAGTTAATGACCTTTGTCGTTTTAGATTTATGTCCCGGACGATAATCAAAGTGTAAAAAAAAAACAAAGGGCAATAACTCAAAATAAGGCATGACAGAGTAACGGTTCTTTTGCACCGTACTTTTACTCTACCTTACTAAAATTTTGATGTTGATTTCTCTTTTACTTTCAGAGTTATGTCTCGGACAAGACATCTACAACCGACCGACCGATCCACTACCAGCTGACTCCAGTATACCTTTCGGGGGTATACACATCTAAGTTCCAGGGAGACACAGTTCTAGAAATAGTCGATTGCGTATTGAAGGGACATATTTCTAAAAGAATAATCAATTGCGTATTGAATCTTCTCACACATAATTTGAGTGATTATAAGTAACATATTTTAGAGTATATACTTAAACAAAATGTTTATTAAAAAAATATGAAAATTTTAAGTTCAAGGTGACAATTTTAGACTTGCACTACAGGTGTAAAAAGCTTATCACATGTGATTTGGGTGATGATCAGAATTACATATTTGAAGATTGAAGAAATTAAGCTTTTGTAGTGAAAAATCGTAGGAACTTGAATCAGAAATATTGACAAGGTCGTCGACACTTTGTGAGTAGTACAGCACCGAATATACTCCCTACAGTCAAGATTTAAATGATGTATATATTCTCGATACTGCCATCAAGTGTCATAAAAATATTTTGCAAGTCATTTTGAGTAACCACAAATATGGTTATATTGGCAATATTTAAAGTTAAAGCGTATTTGTTAAAATTATTTTGCAGTACTTTTTGCGATATCACGGAAAGTTTTTCATGTTAAATTTGCTATATTTTCTGGCAGTCTATCTGTTGCCAGATTAGCCAAAGTAGTCAACATAAGACAAAAAAAATGTGCATAATCCCCAGACTGCCAAAAACACACATATCTAGTTTTATAAAAATATTTGCAGTATTTTTGCGTTATTACAAGATCCCTTGTCTGGAGGAGACCGGTAGGAGACTAGTAAGTAGTATGACCGATTTAATACAAAGAAACAAGTGTATATCAGCCTCCTGCACCCTGAGGTAAAGGATAACATATAATGAATCATTTGAAATCTCAATGAGAGCACAACAGATAAGAGGTCTCCATCAGCTTAAAATTTAAATCTCGTAATTGAAACTGGAGAGGGGAAAACTTTGCAAAGATCTACAACAAACACAATGACATTTTAAATAGTCATTTTTTTAATTTTTGTTTGATTTGTCTTTCTTTGCCAGAATTGACCTAATAGTACACAAAACCAAGTACCAGTAGTGCGACGAATGTGTTAAAACAAACAGAAACTGCCAATCCGTTATAGTTTACTCCTGTTGAGACGCCAATTCACTTCGCTCGCTATCGCTTTTGGTTTTGTTTTGTCTCTCAAACTTTGCCTTTTTTTGACTAGGAGATTTGAATCCACCTTATTATATTTTTGCTTCTGTAGATAGTAATTGTCAAGTCGCATTTTATCAAAGACAAATGATGAATGAATGTGTGAAGGATGAATAAATATATCCTACAAAGTGGTAACTTTGCGTTTTGAAGTATAATTGAATAACATACAATTATAAGTTAGAATGTGTTTTGAAACTATATATATCATGTAATTTTAATTACTCTGAAATGTGAGAATTCTATATAATCTTGTTTTTTTTTCTCAAAGACTTTGACTTTATCAGACCGTGTTTTATAACTTGCACTTTCCAGTACTGTCCATGAACTGACCTAATCAAACCGAGTATGCTACATTCTCAATTTAGTCGCGTTGGGCTTTTTCTAGGAATTCTGTTTTTCTCAATTTTAGGGATTCTGTTTTTCTCTATTTTAATATAATTTAAAAGGTTTTACCTACCGTCAGTTCTTGTTTTATTATTACTTTGTCCGAGATCATCGGTCAGTTCTGCCAGTGTTTCAATCACCTCCACCACTACATTGTTGTCGACAGCGTTACATATTTCATGTAAGATTTGTCGAGATGTAAGCTGACAGTTAGCTAGAGACAAGACGGCAGAGAACATCAGTCGCACTAGAATACCCTTTGGGTTATTCAGATTTCCCACAGTCTCCATACTTTCAACATCTAGAGCAGAACAGTTCTTGAAACCAGATCTCACCTTGTCAACTACTTTCTCGTGAGCTCTGAATTTAGTAACCAGTAACTGAAGGCGCCGGTTTACTTCCTCAAACGAAATAACATTTGCATCGCCTACTTCTTTTAGCTGTACCGTCGATCGTTTTGAATTGTGTCTGTCTGAAATGTTCAAATTATCGCGGTTGTCAACGAGCTGACGTTCGTGTTGCTTAGCGGTATCGTCGGTGCTGTCAACTAGCCGACGTTGGTATTGCTTAGCGGTATCGTCGGTGCTGTCATGTTTATTATCACTTCTTTTCTTAGACTTGAATTTATTTTTATCCTTATTACCACCGTCCAGATTGTATGCATTGTCAGAATGCATCATAATAGGATGACATTCTTGAAGAAGTAGCAACAGGCTGATCAGAGCACTAAGCCTTTTTGTGTTGTGCCTTTGGGCCATTAGGGCTGCTCCTATTAAAAGGAAAAAAATATGTGTGGTTAAGTGAATATTTACAGTTTTAAGTTTTTATTATTAATCTTCATATTATTTGATTCTAATAGTAACATTTAAAAGTGTCAGCCAACTGCAGTAAAAGTAGCTATCATACGCGCCGCTATGGTTATAAAAGTTATTTCTTCACAATTTAGTAAAATTAACTTAAATATATTAAATGCCAATTAGCACGAAGAAAACGCTGTTGTATAAGTGGTTAGCATACTGGATCGACGATCCAGAAACAGCTTCGGCATGCGGATTTTTCGTGCGAATTTCCATGTATAATTTCCCGCTCATGACTATCTTTCTTTCAGATATATATCACGCGTAACACGGCTGCGAATGAATGGTCAGCTGTGCACTGCATACTTTTAAAATAACCAAAATCTGCTACATAGAAGAATGTCTGTTTACATCTGCACAGTTGTTGAAATTATAGGGGAAGCATAACGACACGAAAATTTATTTACGTCGTACTAGTAATACTTATTTTATACTGTGACATGACATGTTTAAAAAGTTTGTTCCCTGCTCCTTATTCGAATAACAAATAGGGAACTTGTTCCCGATTCCTTATGCCAATCTAAATAAGGAACAGCAGAAAAAGCAGAAATTAAAAAATTTGCTTGATCAGCAAACTTGAACCAATCATTTAAATAATTGTATAAAAACATAAATATAAAAATAGTTTGACAAAATGTTCAAGTCGAAGGGGATTCCATATTCCTTATTCGACTTGATCATTTTCATTTTTTTCATTTTTTGCAATTTTTGTTTATAATCTATGCGATGATATCAATCTTTTTTGTGACCAACAGTGTGGTGTAACATGTTATTTCTGTAATATTTAGTAGTGTCACATAGTCTGTGATTTCCTGTATACGTCTTTATAAATTAAGTGACCCCCGGAGCGGGGACAATGTTTTGTTCAAATCATAAACTTAATTGTCAATAAAGGAAAGGTACATGCTAAATACCTAAGCTCTATAGCTAGACATTGTGGTCTAAATGTAAATTTCAATGTGTTTCCTATACAAATCTGTATAAATAAAGTTACCGTCTTATTTTATGTATTATTTGTGCCATACATATTTCTTTTTATAAGTTAATAGGATACAGAGAACACAGAATTGTTGAAACGCATACAAAATGACCGTGATCTTGGCCTTGATCTTAAAAAAAAAATAATGTCTACCCTGCGCTCTACACATCGTCTCATTATGATTAACATTTTTGCCAAATACCGTAGTTTCACTTTCCTTAAACCGGTTTAAAAGATACCAACCGGACACGTCAACTGCTGACATTCGGACGGGCGGACGACAAGATGCATCACAATATAAATTATTTCGGGCATTTAAGCAACAACAAAAAACATTTAACATTCTTTTTGTCACAATTAATGGAAATCCAAATGCGCTTTAAATAAAATCGTAATCGGAATTATATAATCGAAACATCTCGGCATTTTCTTTCCATGAAGTAGTCTTAACACGCGTATCAGTAAGTGTTCAAATGCAAATCTCCCGTCGTCTTAGTGTTTATACTTGTATTTCAAGTGTACAGATCATTGTAATATTGTGTACATGTAAGACACATTTTTGTTTTCCTTTAAATATCTGTTTTCTCTGAATTTACACGACCTTTGGTCCAGGACGTAGTACTTAGTTCTTACATGTACTAAGATACTTTTATAGTGATCACACAAATTGCAAATTACTCAAAACAGTGAAGGGTTAACACATTATTTTTATATTAAATCTGACTTAAATGTTATTTTTGTCCCTGTTTATAGCGACTTCCAGTATATCCACAGTATACCCAAACCGAATCTTGTGAGAAGATCTCAACATCACTTTTGTTAAAAACAGGCGGGACGACCCATAAAATAGATAAATACAGAATCCCTAAAGAAAGCCAAACACGGCAAAATTGAAAATGTTGCAGGCTCGGTTTGATTGAGCCTGTTCATGGACGGTCCTGGAAAGTGCAAGTTACCGTCCACGCCCCCTAGCACCTAGCATAAAACTTTTTTTAAGACGGCTTATATTTAATCTGTGAAGTTAGGTTAATCGTATTAAGAAATTGTTTATCTTCGTTTATATATGCATCCATAACCTGCTTCGTTAAATATGTGCGCATAAAACGCTGTGATCTTGGCTTCATCTTTTTGTTTTTGTCAACACACTCAAGCTAATTTATGCCTAAATTGCTTTAATTCACTGTAGCTCATATATGAATCTTAACTTTATTGTCTTTACCTCATGTTACCGGACAGAAACTTGTATAGAAATCTCTAAATATTGATTAAACATAGTAAATAATAGAGGTCTTGCTAAAACAATCTTAATGATCTGTACCCTACTTGTGTTTTCACTGAACCATAACCAGAACATTAAGTTATTGTGCCACAAGAACATGACACATCTTTTAGTTCTATATATGCAGCTAATATTGTACATGAAACCTCAAATACTTTTTGAGATAAGCTCTGGACAAAATAGCATAAAAAGCAAAGGGCAATAACTCAAAAATTGTATAGGGAAGAGTTATCATTCTTGCACACAACATTCCTCCTCAATAAGATCTATCCACCTATGACATTTCATGTTGATATCTCAAACACTTTTTGAGTTATGCTCCACTCAGGTGAAAAATTAGGTATGAAAAATAACAAAGGGCAATAACTCAAAAATTATGAAAAGGTAGAGTTATCATTCTTGTGCACTGCACACCTCCTGAGTGAGATATATGCACCTATGAAATTTCATGTTAATATCTTATAGGCTTTTGGAGTTATGCTCTGGACAAAAATGAATTTTGAAAAATAACAAAGGGCAATAACTCAAAAATCATGCAAGGTAGAGTTATCATTCTTGTGCACTGCACTCCTCCTCAATGAGGTCTATCCACCTATGAGGTTTCAAGTTGATAACTCAAATACTTTTAGAGATATGCTCCGGACAAAAATGTCGGACGAAAGGACGGAAGGACGGAAGGTCGGACGGACGGAGACTATTTCTATATCCTCCGCCGAAAATTTCGGCTGGGGGATAAAAATCAAAGTTATCTAATGAAAAGCGACGTAGCAAACGTGCAGTATCACAAAACGTCACGTATCAATCCTCCTTGAAATATCATCACAGGATTATTTGGCAGATTACTTATTTAAACATGTTGAATAGCTTTACACCTACTGTTGATTACAGTATGCTTTAAAAAAAGGTTTTACATTCTTAGACTTGACTTTGTAATTCTGACAGGTTTGACTACGATAACGATTACTAAGTCATTTTAAGGAGTTTCCTGCATAATGTTATTTAGTGTCTAAACGGTAGTTTTCACTCTTACAAGTTTTTCCACTTATTTTTAAATACTTTAAAGTCCTGCCAGTGTACATAAGGTAACTTGTAAGTTTTCTTAAAAAGTTGACTAAAGTTATCTAAAGTCAAAAGATACATATAAATCCAGTTCCTTTCTATAAATTGCCATATACATGTATTTCAGATAGAGTTAGATGAATCATTTGTAGTTGTGGGCCGGGACAGTTGCTTAGTGTAACAAACACTTAAAGCACGCCAATGAAAACACAACATGAATGTTGAATCTGTAGAATACGTGTTGACATCAAGTTAATTCAAAAACATTTACTCTGTTAAACCTTTAACTAGAACTCCGCGAGTCGGATGTGTCGCCTTGTGAACAATGTAGTTTAGGAGAAATGGCCAGGACAAAAATGAAATATGAAAAATAACAAAGGGCAATAACTAAAAAAATAATAAGTGCAGAGCAGCAGTTTCTGTACACTGCACTTCTTATCAATAAGATCTATCATTCTATGATGTTTCAAGTAAATAGCTTTCATACTTGAGGAGAAATGACCAGGACAAAAATAAAGTAAAAAATCAACAAAGGGCAATAACTCAAAAATAAGAAATGCAGAGTATCAGTTCTTATGCACTGCACTTCTTTTTTATGAGATCTATCATCCTATGAAGTTTCAAGTCCATAACTTTTATACTTTCGGAGAAATGGCCTGGACAAAAATTAAGTATGAAAATTAACAAAGGGCCATAACTCAAAAATAAAGAAATGCAGAGTACCGATTCTTGTGCACTGCACTTCTTAATAATGAGATCTATCATCCTATGAAGTTTCAAGTCTATAGCTTTTATACTTAAGGAGAAATGGCCCGGACAAAATTAAAGTATGAAAATAAACAAAGGGCAATAACTCAAAAAATAAGAAATGCAGAGTTCCAGTTCTTGTGCACTGCACTTCTTCTTAATGAGACCTATCATCCTATGAAGTTTCAAGTCCATGGCTTTTATAAATTAGGAGAAATGGCCCGGACAAAAATAAAGTATGAAATCAACAAAGGGCAATAACTCAAAAATTGGGAAGTGCAGAGTACTGGTTCTTGTGCACTGCACTTCTTAATAATGAGATCTATCATCCTATGAAGTTTCAAGTCCATGGCTTTTATACATTAGGAGAAATGGCCCGGACAAAAATAAAGTATGAAAATTAACAAAGGGCAATAACTCAAAAATTGGGAAGTGCAGAGTACTGGTTCTTGTGCACTGCACTTCTTAATAATGAGATCTATCATCCTATGAAGTTTCAAGTCCATAGCTTTTTTAGTTGAAGAGAAATGGCCCGGACAAAATTAAAGTATGAAAATTAACAAAGGGCAATAACTCAAAAAATAAGAACTGCAGAGTACCGGTCCTTGTGCACTGCACTTCGGGTTTTTGAAAGAAGCATGCATACCAAGTTTGAAGTCAATCAGACTTATAGTGACTGAGTTATACTCCGGACAAGCTTTAGGGGACGCCGACAACGACGCCGACACAGACGCCGACAACGACGCCGACACAGACGCCGCCGACACCGCCGACGAAAGTAACCCCTATATGTCACCTTTTCAAGGCGACACAAAAAGGGGTACAGGTACAATTTGTAAACTCAAACG